AAGAGGGAATCTACATCAAAATAGGAAACAATCCAATGTTTCCTAAAGCAAGAAGATCTCTACACCTGCTGCCCTTTCCTGAGAGTAGCCCAACAGGTGTGGGGGCATTTGTGGAGCCAAAAATAATTAAGAAAAATATGGAGGCGACACGTGGATTCTTGGGTGAAAAAGACAAAACTACCCTCGAGGCACATCGGAACTCCTACGTGCAAGCAGTGGATGATTATGACTTAATCAAACTCAAAAGTGATCAAAATAGGTATTTATTCGAAACCTATTTCGTCCATCCTCATCAAATCCTCCCCACAAGGTAATCTTCAATTATTCATTCAAAATAGGATTAATTAAATAAATTAACTAATTAGTTTTCTAATTAATTGTAAGATATTATTTTGACATAATACCTTGCAATTACACCCAAAAATCACCATAAGTGCCCGGACCCTTTTTCTCCAAATAGGGGCCAACCACATCCCTATAAATAGTTCCCATTTCTCCCAAAAACCTAATTCCAACTCTCTAATCACTTTTCCCTCAAATTCTAACTTTGACATCAGAGGTTCTTCGGGCAAAGCCCCCCTCCAATTCATCGTGGGCGTATAAGGCTCTTAACCTTAACCTAATGTTTTAATTGTTTTGCAGGTGCATTTTCATCTAAAAAGAAGAAGGCGGAAATTTGCATCTACACTTATAGTCCTTGGAAGAGTTTTTGGGAATATTGTGTTTAAGAATGGAAAAAAACAGAATAAACTTGGTAATCAAAAATAAAATAATCAAGACAATTAACACCATAAATTAACATGAGTCTGCTATCTTATGCCGTCTGTGACGGAGCAACAATGATCTTCTCTTTATCAATAATTAGTAAGAAGGATAATCTTGCCAAGTCACTAGATTTAAAACTTGACAAAAAACTTGAAAAACAAGAACAAGAAATATTTGTCTCTTTTCTTTTCTCTCATACACACTTTGCCCATCTCTCACTCTAACTCCTTGAGTGGTATACAACTTATTCTTTGCCTCCAATTTAAAACTAGTAGAATAGCCCCTTTATATAGACATAATAAAGGTCTTCTTCATTAAGGATTTCTAATCCTAATTGGAATCCAGTTATGAATCATTCTCCAATTGAGAAACCAACCCCAATTGGGAAAACAACTTAAATTGGTAAACAAACTTCAATTTGGTAAACGACTCCAATTGGGAAAACAACTCCAAATGGGAAACCATCTCCAATTGGGAAAGCCACTCCAATTGAAAAACAACTTCAATTGGGAAAATAGTTTAATCATCTAAGACTATATTCCAATAGCCTTAGGACAACTTATCATGGGCTGGAAAACCCCAACTTTTGGCTTTATAGAACCAAGATTCAGATTATAACCAACTACAACATAAATTGTATTTGAGTAGAATAAAATTAATAAGATAATACACACAACATTTATTACAAGGTTGGGCAAAATCCTACCTATATCCCTAGAGATATTGCTTTTCAAAATAAGAATAATCACAATTACATGATATACCCGTCTTCAACAACCTTACGATTTTTCCCTACAACCAGCTTACATTTCTATTTATTAGAAGTCCCCGAGTTGGCATGCTACAAGGAAATGGACGGCAAAGTTTTCGCATCGCAACGAAAACATCCAGCCAATCAACATTGGCACCAATAACTAATTTAAGCTCAAATTGGTTTTCATTTCCCAGCACCATTAAATACCTTGTTGTGCCTAGCCTATGAAAACAATTTACATAACACGAATACATTGTCATTTGGCATTCTGCACCAATAAAACAAGATGTGGACGAAAATTTACACGTCTTTGTTTGTTATTTAATAAACCATAATCTTAAAGATGTCATTGTGTCGATTTATCCATAACATGTAAGTCATTCTCCTAATCTACATTGTTTCTTGGTTGTGTTAGGTACCTTAAGAAGGGATGTAAAGTAGGTTTCCTCGTTGTTGTATATTATTCAACAAACTACTGTTGTATGCTGATGAGTGTAGCTAGTTTTGGCGGAGGACGTAGATACGCTAGATAGGAGTGAACAGTCAATAATAAGAAGAAGCGATGGTGGAAATGCTTTTAAATAGGTTGATTCACATTGAAGGAGAGCAATGAGAAATAAAAAACATGCGAATAAGGAAGAAAGAGAGAACTTCAAAGAAATTTAGAGTTCGTGCATTAGAAAGGACGTTCTGAAGTTTTAAGGTTTGATTTATCGAAGCTTACATTTGGCATCTTCATATAATATATATGGACAAATTACACCCAATAGCCTACGTAGTTTATTTAGATTTTCTCTTTCACGCATGCATTTGTTTTTTTACGGCATTTTCATTATTGTAATTTTATTCTGTTTTCACTTTAGGTCAAGTAATAGTTAACCCTTTCGTAAAAATTGTACTTTTACAACATGTTTGTACTATCTTTATAATAGAAATAAGATCTACCATCATATGTGAAAATCTATAACCTTTCATTTTGGGATCTTTAATGATCAGTGGTGAAGCTACAAAAAGACAAGGAGGGACGGCCACCCCTGCACTTGCCAAAAATCAAGCCCATAACTGGTGGTTCCGCCCCTCTGATCCCGTCGGAAGTAATGGCTGCTCATGGAGCTGTCTGGTGTTCTGGGTTTCTGCCGCTGCTGTGCAGCAGTGTTCTAATTTTTGTTTTTTTGGCTGAAAAGACCCTAAATAAAACGACGTCAGTTCATATAGTGATAAACAAATTTAAAATAGTCCTCAAGTAAAAGATGCCGTCCATTTAGTTGGTTGTTGAAAAAAAAAATTAATTAAAGGGCTAGCCACTGATTCCCCGTTACCTCCGTCTTCACAGCATTCAGGCATATACGATTCACCTGCAGTTGCAGGCTGCAAAACCTTTGTTCTGCCATTGGAGAGGGCGACAATCAACAACAAAGGCTGCAAGAGTCTCTCTTGCGCCGCCGCCGTCCACCCATTTGAACACCATGCGCTGTCCCTTATTTTCGTTTGCATAATTTAAATTAATTGATGATGTGAGATCTATGTGAGATGGGTTTTGTATGATTTAGTGTGAATTTATCTGGGTTTAGTGCTAATTGTGGTTTCCAGGTTGAATTTGTTCTCTCTAGTTTGAACGGGGCATTTTGTTGTTTTGAGTAAGTTTGGATGGAACTGGAGCTAATTCGGTATTTTTTAAAATAAAATAAAAAAATAAAAAAAACAAACAAAGAGCTAATTCGGTATTCTAGTTTGAATTATGAGGTGACATTCATTCTGTTTTGTTTTAGGATTTTTATCCATCTGTGCCTCCTTGTTGCAGGTTCTTCTCCTATGCTTCATCTTGTGCGCCATTAGGATTTAACATTAGGGATGTCATATTGATTAAAATCCTCTGTTTATGTTACATATGTCCAGGAAGTTATTATCTGAGTCAATATAAATATAAGATTACTTTACAATTTGATCAGTTAACGAAAACTGTACAATGAAATACTACTTACAAAAATGGCCAGTAGTTTCTATTCTACAGTTTGGCAATGGATTTTAGTGGATTTATAGTTTGTCAATGGATTTGTAGGCAATTACGTGTAGTGTGTAATACGACTAACTTGATAAATTATGAACGATGTTAATATTGTCTACTAACTTAAAGGATTTCATTGTCTAAATTTTTTTGAAATCTTTTACCCTTTTAAATTTCGTCCATTCCTTAACAATTTCTGGTTTTGCCACTGTTTGTAATGGTTTAGATGTTTATAAAGTTGAAGAAACTGAGGTGGAAATAAGTATTGAATGCTAATAATTACGATTTCTCTCAATTTAAAGCTCTATTAATTACATGGTTGGGAAAATTTAAGGGTTTAAAATTTTCAAAACACTTGTTTTGGGTTAACCGGTGAAGCAGAATGAAAATATGAAATAGGATTATGGAAATGAAAGAGTTTGAAATTATTACTATAATTTAAGGAATGAGTAGTTTCAAATTCGCGATGTATGAGTGAAAATCCAATAGGATAATGCTAGGGAGAGTAAATGTATTCCTATTGGTGACACATTATTTAATTTGTAAATTTTACTTACAAATTTAATTTTTCTAGCATTATCCATTTCAATATTGTATTCTCTAGCTAGGATATCAGACCACACGGTAAAAATTATAATACTCAATCTACCCTTTCCATATTAACGAAAGTGAAGGACATTCTATATATACTAAAAGCAGTTGGAAAAGCGCTGTTTATTAACAGTGTTGTTTCGGTTTTGCCCCTGATTTAACACCTACTTTTTTGGCATATTGAAGATGCTACATGAAATGTCGTTTTTACCCTTTTCCTTCATCTTTTTTCTTCTCGCGTGTTGCTCGGCTTGGCCGTCTTGCCCTTTTGATTCTAGGTATTTGTTTCCTTTTTCTCTCCCGACTTCCCCTCAGCATACTTCCCTGCTATTCCTGTCGCCATCTCACCTTCGAAACAGAATAAAAAATTATAAATAAATTAGATTGCATGCACAAAATAATTGTTAAAAATTTTAAAAAGCCCACCTGTCTTGGCCTTTTGGTTATTTTATTTTTTGGTTTTGCTCCTTTTTTTACCTTCCACGTAGGGCCTCCAATGATTTGTGGCAAACAACATATTAAAAAATTATAAAAAAAGTAGATCATGGGCAAAACAATTATTAAAAATTTCTTCTCCTGACTCTCCTCCCATGGTTCCCTGCATCCCTATCATGTCATGTCATGATTGCCTTTGGTAGGTGAGGATTGATTGTGCCTGTCATGTCACCTGTTGCATGGTAGGTGAGCATTGATTGTGCCACGTGTTGGTGATCGTGTTGTATACTTTTTATGGTTTATATTGGTTCCCGGATCCTTTTCTGTTTCAGCCTACTTCCCTTTATGTTTCCTCATTTGTGCAATGAAAAGTCGATTATACCTTTTTGTTGGGTGCTATCTTGTTTATTTCTTGTCCTCAGAGTTTAAGTGGCTGTTTGCCAGCCAACGTGTCAGTCATCGCCACCCTGCTTTTTGAAGCCACTAGAAGGGTCTTCGATCTATATCTTCGTGTGTCTGTTCGTTTCGATTTCGATTCAATCGTCTAAAAAGACAATTTGGATTTTTTTTGGTTGTTGTCGAGGAACCAATCACGCCGTTTTAGGTGTGTTTCTTCATCCGCATCTTATTTTCTGTTTGGTTAGCAAGAATTATTTTTTTAATTGATTAGTGTAAAAGTCAAGTCTTGCCGTTTTAAATGATTAGGATTTAACATTAGCGGTGTCATATTGATTAAAATCCTTTGTTTATGTTGCATATGTCCAGGGAAGTTATTATTTGAGTCAATTCCTGGAGGTGGATAAATATAAGATTACTTTACAATTTGATCAGTTAACGAAAACTGTACAATGAAATACTACTTACAAAAATTGCAAGTAGTTTCTATTCTACAGTTTGGCAATGGATTTTAGTGGATTTAGTTTGTCAATGGATTTGTAGGCAATTACGTGTAGTGTGTAATACGACTGGCTTGATAAATTATGAACGATGTTAATATTGTCTATTAAGTGAAAGGATTTTATTGTCTAAATTTTTTTGAAATCTTTTACCCTTTTAAATTTCGTTCATCCCCTGATAATTTCTGGCTTTGTCACTGTTTGGAATGGTTTAGATGTTTATAAAGTTGAAGAAACTGAGGTGGAAATAAGTAGTGAATTCTAATAACTACGATTTCTCTCAATTTAGAGCTCTATTAATTACATGGTTGGGAAAATTTAAGGGTTTAAAATTTTCAAAACACTTGTTTTGGGTTAACCGGTGAAGCGGAATGAAAATATGAAATAGGATTATGGAAATGAGAGAGTTCGAAATTATTACTATAATTTAAGGAATGAGTAGTTTCAAATTCGTGATGAATGAGTGAAAATTCAATAAGATAATGCTAGGGAGAGTAAATATATTTCTATTGGCAATACATTATTTAGTTTGTAAGTTTTATTTACAAATTTAATTTTTTTAACATTATTCATTCTAATATTGTATTTCCTAACTAGAATATCAGACCACATGGTAAAAGTTATAATACTCAATCTGCCCTGTCCATATTAACGAAAGCAAAGGACATCAAATATCTAAACAACACAAATCCTATAAGATCCGAAGGGTGTAGATGCAAAGGATGCACTCTATAGCTTTGACTCCATTAATTCTCAGATATTCTGATATCACTACAATCTCATCAAAATTAATATTGCTTTCATCACTTTCACTTTTACATTTATGATTTATGTGCTGATTCTCATCAGCTAGATATCACCTGTGTGCATGAAAGCCAAGTGTCACTTACTTTGAAAACTCAAGAAAGTCCGTTCATGCACACTGCCACCTCATGATCTACCATCCCTAAAGCCATTTTTTTACTTATATATTTCTAGTTCCAAGACCTCACGCACACATCTTAGGCTGTTTCTGCTCCCTCTTGATAAGTGCATAGAGTCTCATCTTGTTTGATTTGTGCTTCCTATATGATTAGTGTAATTAACTTGCTTACTTGTTTTTGCAAGACAACGAAAATGGCTGGAGTGAAGGCCAACAGTAATACGGATCGGATAAGTGAATTAAAAGCATTCGACGAAACAAAAGGTGGTGTGAAGGGACTGCTTGATTCAGGCATTACAAAACTCCCATCTATTTTTCACTCCAAGCAACTGAGCGTCGATGACCGGAAGGTGGCAAGTGACGATGTCCAATTGAGTATTCCGATCATTGACCTAAAAAACATCCATATTGACTCAGTTTTGCGAGCTGAAGTAATTGAGAAAGTTCGATATGCAAGTGAGAAATGGGGTTTCTTTGCGGTGATCAATCATGGAATTTCTGATGATGTTTTGGATAGGATGATCGACGGAATGCGTAGGTTCCATGAGCAGGACGCTGAGCTGAAGAAAAAGTTGTATTCCCGTGAGAGTGGGAAGAAGGTTCTTTATTCCTCCAATTATGATTTGTACCATGCTCAAGAAGCTAATTGGAGGGATACGTTTTCCTGTTATATGGCTCCTGATCCACCAACGCCAGAAGAGATGCCTTCAGTGTGCAGGTATATATGTATTCAAATGTAGGGTAATTAAATAATCAATAATGCAATTTAGACGCATAACACTAACAGTAATCTAATAGAAGTCCGTTACGCAATGGTATGTGGTCAGCGTTGGGTGGTTAAATAAAATTACTCTTAATTGATTCTCTAAGTTTGGGATTTACAAGGTACTGTAATTTTTGTTATAAATTTCTTATAAAATTAACATAAAATATTATTGCAGAGAAATAGTGATAGAGTACTCGGAGAAAGTGATGAAATTGGCACATACTTTGTTTGAGTTGTTTTCTGAGGCTCTTGGGCTTAATCCAAACAAACTGAAAGACATGGGATGCGCTGAGGGGCAATTTCTTCTTGGTCACTACTACCCAGCATGCCCTGAACCAAAAATAACTTTGGGCACTAGCAAGCACACTGATGGCACCTTCATCTCCGTACTTTTACAAGACCAAATTGGTGGCCTCCAAGTTTTATATGATAATCAATGGGTTAATGTTCCTCCAAAGAAAGGAGCTCTAGTTATCAACATCGGAGACCTTCTGCAGGCAAGAATTCATTGATTAATTAGCCCTACTTATCATTGTATTATCTATCAAATTTAAAGTCCAAATGACAACCTTTACGCTAAATTACTCGTAATAAGTACACCTGGGTGTAGCCAAGTGGGCTAAAGGGAATCGGTCCTCTGCACCAAAGTTTGAATCTTCCTTCCCACAATTCAAATTAGATTTAATTAGAATACTAATAACTTTATGCTGTTTTTTGTGCAGCTCATCACGAATGGCAGATTCATTAGTGTCTATCACAGAGTTATAGCGCAGAAGGTGGGACCAAGAATTTCAGTGCCAATCTTTTTCAGGCCATATGTTCAGGGAGGAAAATCATATGCTTATGGACCAATCAAGGAGTTGTTATCTGACGAAAATCCACAAATCTACAAAGAAGTTGATTTCAAAGATTATCTGAATCACTACCTCACGAAAGGGATAGATTTTGTCTCCCCCTTAGTGAAATTCAAGCTGTGAAGAAATTTATGCCCATTAAGTTCTCATGTGTTAATGAATAAGCCTGTTAGTCATGCTGAACTTGAGTAGTCATAAGAATAGCTATTCAATCATCTGTATGCCGAAATAAAGCAGAGAACTCTGTTAATCTGTTATTTAAATTTGTGTTCAGCAAATATTCGGGCAATTGAATAATTAAATATATTGTGATTGTGAAATATTGCTTATCTTTCATGTGAAAGAGTCGTAGGGTGATTTTTTTTTTTTTTTCACTTTAATTCTTGAACAAGATTGAAAATTAATAAAAATTCATTTTTAAATTATCTATTGTTGTGGCCTATATTTAACTGAGGGGTGCGGCATGTGATGGGTGCATATTTTCATATATTTTTATCATATACTTCCTTCGGATTTTGTATATATGAATGGGTTAAATGCACTAAATTCTATTGTTTTATTTTTAGGCATTCAATATAAGAGTTACGTGAAAAAAAAGTGGAAAATGAGCTTTTTAGGTGTCTAAAGCAATTCTAGTGGAGCAAGAGGCTAATTAATTACACCAAGACATATGCATTAAAACAAGAAGATGAAACCAAGCAGTTTTGGAATCAAATAGACATGGGAGTGCTATTTAATAGATTTAAGAACAGACATAATTATTTGTTTTTATTATTTTCGTTATTTTCTTTTTATTTAATAAGGACTTAAAGTCCATTAGGGATAGGATTTTAGTAGGGTTTTAATTGTTATATTTCTTTCTTGGACTTTCTTTTGCCGTGGGTTTTATAAGGGGGGAGAAAGCCATCCAGAAAAAAAAAACACAATTCATATTCAAAAGGGGGGCAGCGGCAAGGAAGGGAAAAGGGAAGAATTTTCTAGTTTTATTTTTTTTTCTTTGCTAGGGCTACGATGTAGCCCGATCATGAATGCTTAATTGCCTTGTGGCATTGTTGTTATTGAGTTTTTCTTCCTTATTGAGTATCTTTTAATAATCGTAATGCGCTTAATTTTTATTTAGATGCTTGATCACCATCTAGGTTTAAATTAGGTTGATTTGATGCAAGTTAGAGTAGATGTCATACTTAACTTGGGTTTAGCTTCTTGCAATTGATACCATAAACACCTATTTGTAGATGCCATACAATTAGGGTTTGTGTGATTTTCCAACGATTTCTATAGAGCTTAATAGGTTCTTACTTGTTTAAATCCATCTAGATGCCATAGAGGGTTAACATGTAAGGATACTTTTGATGTAACCAGATGTCATGGCCGTCGAATAATTTAGGGAAAATCGATCATCAATATTGGGGAACTACTTGAGCATAACATATTAAGGGAATTAAGTAGGATTGGTTACGGTGAATTCAAATGCCCTAGGTTTTATTTTCTTATATTTTAATCTTATTAATTTATGCATTTTATTTTTAAAGTTGTATTTTATTTCAGTTTAATTTCTAAGTTTCATATCTTTTCCATTATGATTTGTTTCAATTTAATTAGTAAGACTTTGAGAATCAATTCGATCTCTGTGGGATGATATCCATGCTTATATGCTATACAATCATTTGATTCGTATACTTGTGAGCACTAAAATTCGAGACTTAATGGGTTTAATTTTGGTTATCTAATTTACGCAACAAGTTTCTGTGTGATGCAAGTGACTATGCCGTGGGAGCAGTTTTGGAACAGCGAAAGGACAAATTACCTCATGTTATTTACTATGCTAGTCGCATGCTAAATGATGCCCAGTTGAACTATTCAACCACTTAAAAAGAGTTGTTAGCTGTAGTATTTGCGCTTGACAAGTTTCGGTCCTATCTTATTTGTTCAAAGGTTATTGTGTACACTGACCACGCTGCCTTGAAATATCTTTTATCCAAAAAAGACGCAAAGCCGAGACTGATTAGATGGGTACTTCTTCTCCAAGAATTTGATCTCAAGATTCGAGATGAGAAGGGGTCCGAAAATGTGGTGGCAGACCATCTATCTAGGATAGTTCGAGAAGAAGATGTTGATCTCGTTGTGCCATTCACTGAGACTTTTCCTGATGAACAATTGTTTGCTGCTCAACATGGTGCAGTCCCTTGGTTTGCTGACTTTGCAAATTACTTGGCAAGTGGGGTGGTTCCAAAGGATTTGAATTTTCAACAAAGGAAGAAATTCTTCTCTCTAGTGAAGCATTATTTTTGGGATGATCCCTATTTGTATAAGCATTGCCCAGATCAAATCATTCGCAGGTGTGTTCCCCGAGATGAGCAGTAAAGTATTTTGAACCATTGCCATACATATGCTTGTGGAGGGCATTTTGGAGCAACAAAGACATCAGCCAAAGTTCTGCAATCTGGATTCTTTTGGCCAACCTTGTTCAAGGATTCTCATGCATTTGTTGTTGCTTGTGATCGATGTCAAAGGCTTGGTAATATCTCTCATAGAAATGAGATGTCGTTGAATAACATTTTGATAGTTGATCTTTTTGATGTATGGGGCATAGACTTTATGGGGCCTTTTCCTTCATCATATAAGCACAAATATATTCTGGTGGCTATCGACTATGTTTCTAAGTGGGTGGAAGCCATTGCCACACCAACTAATGATGCTAGAATTGTTCTACGGTTTCTCAAGGCTAACATTTTCACTCGGTTTGGAACACCAAGAGCGATTATAAGTGATGGAGGTTCTCATTTTTGTAATAAACAGTTTAAAGCTCTTTTGGCCAAGTATAATATCACTCATATGGTCGCTACGCCATACCATCCTCAAACTAGTGGCCAAGTCGAGGTGTCAAATAGAGAGATTAAGCGAATTCTGGAGAAGACGGTGAATGCATCACGTAAAGATTGGTCTCTTTGTTTAGATGATCCGCTATGGGCGTATAGAATTACAAAACGCCTATTGGGATGTCTCCATACAGATTGGTTTTCGGGAAAGCTTATCACTTGCCAGTTGAACTCGAGCACAAGGCTTATTGTGCAATCAAGAAGCTTAATTTCGATTTTCAAGCAGCTGGACAGAAAAGGCTTTTGCTATTAGATGAGCTTGAGGAGTTGAGAAACGAGGCTTATGAGAATGCTTAAATTTACAAGGAAAGAACCAAGCGTTGGCATGATAAAAACATCCTGCGAAAAGAGTTCTATGTGACATCCCGTCCCGAAACTAACGAAACGCATAGGTGAAATGACCCTTTTACCCCTAGTTTGTTTTGTTATGTTGTTTGGTTGTTTGTGTGGTGTTGGCAAGTGTTGGGCCACACACACACACACACTGTCTCACTCTCCCTCTCCCTCTATTATTTTCTCTGTCTCTCTCTCTCTTTCCCAAGTCCTCGTTCCTCCTTCTTCTTCCTTCAAACGTACGGTCACGCACCAAGAACCATCAACTGTGACAGATCGAGGAAACCAAGGGTATAGTCGTGATCGTGAGGTCGAGGGGAACACAATCATAGCATTTCCAGGTGAGAAACCAGTCGTTTTCACGTCGATTTCGTAAGCTCCGATTTGAGCACTATTCATGCAAACTTATTCTAGCATGTTTTTGGACTTTTGAAGCTCTTAGATGTCCTTGTGAGGTTCCTAGGAGCTTGGGAGTACATCGTTGGACGAGATTGGACGTAGGGATAGCCTGGTTCGAGTCGGCCGGTCATGGAGTTTTTGGACAGGTGAATTCTCGTAGATTTTAGCCTTTAAAACTTGGTTAGACGTGTTCTACTAGTTTAGGGCTTCATTTTGGTTTAAAAATCTTGAAAAATGGTGGAAAAACGAGCGAGAAATCATCGATTGCAGGTTTCCCAGTTTCCGGCGGCGGCGACGGCACCGGAGACTGATCGGAGAAGGAGACGGAATATTCCGTCAATTCTGACGGAATATTCCTGACGCCATTAACGGAATCTGTCAAATTTGACGGAATATTCCTAACGACGTCAGTTGACGCCGTCAGTGTGCCAGGCACGTGCCTGCACGTGGCCGGCCAGTGTGGCCGTGCCTTGGCCGGCGCGTGGGGGCGCGTGCGGCGGTGAAATTTTTTTCTAAAAATTCTGGTGTGTTCCTGAGGTTGTGTAGAGCACGTTGGTATATTCAATTGTCCATTTTGAGCAATGTATGAGAAGTTATTTTGAACGGATGGTTATGTGCTTTAAAATTAACGTTTTTATAGTATTTTCGCATATAGGTGACACGTATCCCGAGGACGAGCGTGCTCACGCGAGGCAGGGGGACTATAACCCTTCCACGTACCAGTGAGTGGGCTTTTGTTTTCTGTATATACCTATATACTTATAATTCCTAGAAATTTTATATAAATGCTTAATCGTTATATGCCATTCCTTCTATATATTAGTGGTGGTTATGCATAACTAGTCGCATATACGTTTATTTATACATTCAATTACATGTGTATATATGGATATGATGGTGCTGTGGAGGCACAGGTAAGTGCCAGGTAAGCGTTATCTAACAATTGCATTAAATAGTGGTTAGAGATGATTAGAGAGCTCATAACCTGCACCCCCGGTGTTAGTGCTTCCGCCCAAAGTAGGGCACAGTCCTTCACGTGTCGTTCACCTCCCGCACCATACACTCAGCTTGGATCCAAGTTAGGTGCACAGTCCTGTCGTACAGACCACTTTAGGTGGTTTCGACTCGTAGGTGACACGCGATTATTCGCACAGTCTTCACGTGATCGTAGCACTAGAACGTTATATGTATTACACCCAGGCCTGTCGTACAGACCACTTTAGGTGGTTCCAACTCGTGGGCAGGTTTAGTTATTGAGATTGAGATTTGAGCTCTAGATGCAGCCGTACAGGTCACGTAGGGTGACTCCGGCTGCCAAATTATATGTTATTGATGTGATTTATACCTGAGCACTTGCATTTCAGGCTGAGGTTCCGATATGGCATATATTTGAGCATGATTGGCATATTTATACCTACGTACATATGTTTATTTTCTGGGAAGTATACAGGTTTTACGGCGAGGGGTTAGAATATTGTTTTTGAAATGGTTTTCGAAAAGCTTTGTTTTTGCCCCCTCACACTTTTGTTTTGCGCTCCTCCAGGTTTTAGCTAGCTAGCAGGTTCGGTGGTTTCCCAGAGGGCTTCCCGGCGCTTCTGACAGACTCGCACTAATGTAGGGTCACTTCGGGTGCACTGTTATCGTATTATGTTAATTTGGACTGCTGTAGACTTAATGCTCTGACTTAGCGGTTCACTCGCACTAGCACTCTTTACTTTGACTATTGTATGCTAGATTTTAATTATTCGTACTTTTATATTACTATCTTTCTAGCTTCCGCACTATGCACACGGCTACGTCACTTCCACGTGACGGCCTGCACACTCTGATCTCGGTCGGGGTGTGTCATTCATTGTTGGTCAGAAGGTGTTGTTGTACAATTCTAGATTGAAGCTTTTTCCTGGAAAGCTTCGTTCACGTTGGTATGGTCCATTTCTAGTATTACAAGTCTTTCCTCCTGGGGCAGTTGAGGTGCAAAATCTGGAGACTGGGAATGCATTCAAAGTTAACGGTCAACGATTGAAACCTTATTTGGAAGTCAACTTCGATGCAATGAAGATTGACATCCCTTTATTTGATTGCGCCTGAGCAACACTATAGTCCGGCTGAAGACTATAAATTTAGTGCTTCATGGGAGGCAACCCATGCTTTTCTTATATTTTCTATTTGTTTAATTTCATATTTTTTGTTTTCTTTGTTTTGTTTTCTGTCTTCACTTATTTGCTACTCGCTGACTATTTTATGTTGGTGTAGGGACGTCTAGCTGCCACATAACAATGATTGAGACCGCGGATGTTTAAGTTTGGGGGTGGCTATTGCATTGAACACCATGGCTGCCATGTGAAGCATAAATCAGGGGCGTTTCTCTGTTCAAGTGATATTATTCATTTATCCTTCCCTTCTTCTGTTTACGTGCTTTATTTCTAGACATTGAGGACAATGTCTCATCTAAGTTTAGGGGGTGGGAGTGAGATTTTTAAGCCCTGGTTGAAGAAATTTTGTTTAGTCTGACTGTTTCATTTGGAATAAGCATGTTGCTTTTAATTGGCTGGATCCTCCCTTTTTTTTTTTTTTTTTTTTAATTATTTACTTTTAGTTAGTATTTTTATAAAAAAAAAAAAAAATTAAAATTCTATAAAAATCAGAAACTTTGAAAAATACTTTGTTTTTTATTTCTTGTTTTTAGTTAGATTTTCGTTAGCTTCCCAACCCAATGATGAAATTGAATTGAATTTGAACTATGGTTATTGAGAAAGTCGTAAGCATGTTTTAGGTGAATCTCTTTATTCATTTTGTTAGCTTTATACACGTTCGATCATCTTTGGAAAACTGAATGCACTTTGCCTTGTTGATGTGAAACTAAAGCATGGTTTAACACTTCATATGTGAATATAGTGACTTAATGTAATCCTTGTGAGCTTTTGAGCCTATTTTGTGGTTGAACTATCATGCAGCAATCACATTATTCTTGTGCGTTTGATTTCTTACATGTATCTCTAGAACTTGCTTTATACCTCTTGATTTATTCATCAATTCATGTAATAACTTGGAAGTGATATAGGCCATCTTTGGATCGTTTGAGCCTTTCATGCCTACCTTATATGCTATGTTCATCCTTAGTAGCCCGTTGAGCCTTTAACTTAGCCATTTCTTTGTTAGACACATCTCTTTACCATGCTCCGATATTGGAGTTGAGCTCATACGCAGAAATCGATCCCTTATTGTTTTGAGAAAGTATTACATAGGTTGTGCTTTTGGGGTTTTATTTATATAGAAAAAAAAAATGGATGGAATATGTGTATTACAATGAAATGTGAATTTGAGGGATGATGTAGCCTTACAGATTTGAGTATGATTAACCAACTAACCAGAAGTAGTGTTGTTCACTTATCCGAACTGATAGTGCTCTTGAATCACCTAGTTTTATAGCTCCAGTATTGTTTACTTATCCAAAATGAAGGTGTCGGGGGTTTCCAACACAATGTTGTTTACTTGTTTGAAATGAAGATGTGTCGGCCGGTATGTTAGGATAGTTAGTGTTATTCTTAGGAATGTCAAAAAGGTTTAATGTCGAGTGAGGGTTTCACATAGAGTGTTTTTGAGTTGTTTTTTGAGTTGAAGGGCAACTTCTGTTGCAGAGCCTTCTCTGTTTATAGGTAAGGCATTCGTGGTAGAGTCCTGATGGGATTATATTTGCTCGACATCTGCTTGGATAATCCCTTTATCCTTTTGTGGTCAAAACTTCACATTCATCTAGTCTCGCCTCTTTGATTCCAACTAGGACTCTGAATCTAATCTCGTTATGAGACTCATCCATCTTTATTCAATTACGCTGGCACACTAATCCTTGGGATAATTCGTATTTATCCAAGGCTCAATTTGATCACTAGCAATTTCTATTCGCATATGACTCAACCGAGCCATCCATACTTGATTTCTTCACAGTCCTTCTTTCAAAAGGACTCAGTCAAACTGATCCTATTTACAGGCTAAAAGCCCATTGGCCTGAAGAATGCGTACTGAACTAAGGTTCATAGTTCTCGGGTCGACCTTCTCGCCCCAAATTGTTATTTCAAATTCAAACAGAAATCCTGTGTGTATGCTCTACTATGTTACAAAAGATCCAACTTGTATTTGGATATTTTAGCTTAACGCCGTATGTTTGTACCATGCCTTACTAGATACCTTAATTGTAGAAGCTTCCGAAGGGAAATAGACAAGACAAAAGTACAACTATTAGAGTGGACAAAATTAAAGAAAGCAAAGAACCGGCCATTGTATATATGACCTATGAAAAAGCAGTATTATGAAATATGATTTGATTAATCATTTCACATATCAAATAGGACAGACATGAATATGAATTTAATCATTTCAAATATCAGATAGGACAGACATGAATATGAATGGCCATTTTCATAAAGACAAGATTGTCTATCCTTTCACTTTCGGTATCCTCTCGTGCTTTTTTATTTTGTGTGGTTGTTGTTAAGCTACGTCAACATTTATATTATTTTTTTATAGAAATAATAAGACAAAAATGAATAATAATATAAAATATCAACATAATTTAACTGTAACCACACAAATAAAAAATACAAAAAGGCATCAGAAGTGAGAGGGCAAACCATCCTTATCCTTTCGATAAAGAAAAGGTTACTGAACCGGTGTGGGTTTGGGCGGCGTGGTGTGGCTGTTTATGGGCGCTGAGGGTGTGAGTTCTCTAGAAATAGTAGAGTTTTGAATTTAAAATGTTGCGAAGTGATGTGGGCTCCCCCGTATACCTTAAATTTTTGTTTTATATTTAAAATATTTTTATTTTTTAATTTACAAACTGGAAAGTTGCATCCGCATCACTATAAATATGAGTTTTATGTGTGTCATGTAATCACTTAATTTGTTAATTAACAAATTATGTAATTGATACTGTAACAAATTTGTGAGCTAATGTAAAAATTACAATACTAAAAACATAAGGAATGAATATGATATAATCCAAAATTGAAGTGGCAAAATATAATTTGAAGCAAGTAATTTAATCCATGTTAAATTGCCGGCAAGTAATTTAATCAATGTTAAAACAATGTCCCCCCGGGGACATCCGATGATCCGATAAAATCAATGTTAATAAAATAAATAAATTATTGCTTGATAAATACCCACTACGGTTGTCCAGACAGAACAAGCAATAAAGCTTTTCTCTAAGACCTAGATCTTTTTCCTTGCGTTGTACTGTGGAAAAATATTGAAGGACATGGCGGCCACAATAAACGCAGTTGGAGATGAACTTGGAATTAGGTGTACTGCAATGGGGGATAATTACGGTGACCGCAGAAGTGAGCTGAAAGCATTTGATGATACAAAAGCCGGCGTCAAGGGACTGCTCGATGCAGGCTGCACGAAAATTCCCCGTATTTTCTACTGTCCATCACGGCATGATCATGAGACGGAGGCCGCTGGGGAGAAAGCCATGCTCAGTATTCCAGTCATTGATCTCCAAGGCATACACCAAAACGATCCCGCTTCGCGTCCTCGAGTCATCGACGAAGTCAGAGTTGCGAGTGAGAAATGGGGTTTCTTTCAGGTTGTAAATCATGGGATTCCTGTTGAAGTTTTGAATCGAATGATTGATGGAGTGCGTGAGTTCCATGAGCTGGATATTGAGCTTAAGAAAGAGTTTTATTCAAGGGACTTTGCGAGGAAGGTGTTTTTTATGTCCAATCGTGATATGTACCATTCTCTGGAAGCTAACTGGAAGGATACACTTGTGTGTTATGTGGCTCCGGATCCACCCAAACCAGAAGAATTACCCTCAGTGTGCAGGTATAATTCTTGTCCTTTTAGTTTTGTACAATTAAGTGTTTTATTGAGATCATCTACTTGATTTAATTGATCATGCATCATTGCATCTATAATTTACTTTGTAAAAGGAATTTCCTATAACAAAATGTTAGTTATAGAACTCGTCCATATTTTGATTAAACTCGAGAACGGGTTGTGATTTGCTACCCACCTATTGCGATGGGGTGAATTCGTCGACATTATTATACAAAACTTATCACATCGTACAAGTATATGATATAAATGTGCAAATTTTTGCTACAATTATATATATTTGTTGGTGACACTGGTGGGAAATGAACATATATTATACTGGTACTTTTAACTATTAATTGCAATTTTAGTCTTTTATGATCATATTTACTTTCATAACTTTAATCATGATTGAACTTGATATATATGTTGGAGTTGTGCAGAGAAATTGTGAATGATTACTCAAAGCAAGTGATGGATTTGGGATTTATTTTGTTTGAGTTACTATCCGAGGCTCTTGGGCTCAACTCAAACCATCTTAAAAACATGGATTGCGCTGAGGGGCTTATTCAACTGTGTCACTACTACCCAGCATGCCCTGAACCAGACTTGACGTTGGGCACTGGCAAGCATACTGATGGCACCTTCATCACCATACTTTTACAAGACCAAACTGGTGGCCTCCAAGTTTTATATGATAATCGATGGGTTAATGTTCCTCCCAAGGAAGGTGCTCTAATTGTCAACATTGGGGACTTTCTGCAGGCAAGTTGTTATAGAAAAATTATCTTCAATTCTTACTTTTCTATTACTTTACCATTAATGAATAGTGACAGTAGTTCAAACAAATATCCAAACATCAACTGAGAAAAAATCAACACCCTCAAAGGTGTTTCGATTTTTCACATAATCCCCTTGAGGTTTTGGAATTACATTAAGGTTTCAAATTGTTTTCACAGAAACCCTTCCGTTAAAATTTTCATCTCAAAATTGATGGTGAAAAAAATCTTTAAACTGCCTACACCCCTGCACCCCCAAAGGTCTATTTAAATTTTTGGATAAGCCCCTCAGCCTCAGATTTTATATATAGAAAACTTCATTTTAATTCTTGACAAAGATGACTTTTAGATTAAAACCATGATTTAGATCAAAATCTAATTTTAGTCCCTTGATACATTAATAACCTCATTTATTAATTACATTTTGATTTTTTAATTATTTCTCTTTTTCTTCCTAATTTTTAATGTATTAATTTATTTGATTATAATTTTCATTTTCATTTTATTATCGTAATATATTTTATTTTAATCATTTAGATAAATTAATCTTTGTTATACAAAATATTTCGATGTACTTTGTCTTTTTCATTTAGGTACATTAAATTCATTATAATACATTTCGGTACATACATATATGTACAAACATTTCGGTACATACATTTCGATACAAATATTTAGGTATATTAATTTAATATAATACATTTCGGTACACACATTTGGTTACATTAATTTAATATAATACATTTTGGTGCATATATTTCGGTACATACATTCCGGCACTAACATTTAAATACATTAGTTTAATATAATACATTTTGGTACTAACATTTAGGTACATTAATTGAGTCTTTCAAGTTTAAAGAATGTTAAATAAAATTAATAAATTAAAAACTCTTTTTTGGTCAAAAAAAAATTAAAATTTGTATATTAATAAATTTAAGTATTTAATGGGAGACAATAAATAAAATGCACATTAATTATTTTGAATTAAGGACAAATTAAGGGATTATTGACACACCCCGACCGAAATCAATGCTTGACAACCAGCACGCCTTGATTTCGATTGTTGATGGAATATTCCTAACGGCAGCTAACAGCGTCAGGTTAGTTTTAACGGAATTTTCCTTACGGCGTTAACTTTTCCGTTAGGCGTGCTAGGCACGTGGCCGCACGTGGGGGCACGTCTAGCCGTGCCTTGGTAGCCGCGTGGCTGCCAGCACGCCTTAATTTCGATCGGAGTGTGTCATTATAATCAATATGTAATCTAACACAGGTTTATTTTAAATTTCAATCTTCTTAAAGGATTAAAGTTATAAAGAAAAAAAAACCCCTTTTATATACCACCCTTTATAAAGAAGAAGAACATTATGACAATTACAAAATTTAAAAGAAATTACCCTCGTTTATTAGCATGTAAGATAAAGACATTACGAGAACTTAGAAGATTGTTTTAACTTCACGAAATTATATTTTGTTAACTTGTTTTTAACTAATGTCAAGTCATTTTGTATTTAGTGCTTAAATGAAAACATGTTAAAACCTCATGTCGAGTCTTTATGCAAATATTATAACCGTACGGAGGCACGTGGAAAAAACAAGAAACCTTAGGGTTACGTAAGAATACAGTAAACTCAAGCGGTGTTCATGTAATTATTTCTCACGAAAAATTTGTCAGTTAAAGAAACATTTTTTATGCCATAAATAATTTTAGATGAAATTTTGACAGAAGGAGTTTGTGAAAGTAATTTGAAATCTTAAAAGTGTTCGTAAAATTTCCAAAATTACTAGCTGTTATAAAATCAAAAAAAATCATAGAGGGTGTTAATATGTATAACTTATTGTCAAATTTATGAAAAGAGAAATTCGAAGAAGGCAGCTAGAGATGGACTGGTCTGGTATAATTCACTTGCCTTATAATTTTTCTTGTTTTTGTGCAGCTCATGGCAAACAACAAGTATATGAGCGTCCCCCACAGAGTAATATCCAAGAGCGTAGGCCCAAGAATTTCGGTGGCAAGCTTTTTTCGACCATATGTTGTCGCAGGGAAATCAAAAGCTTACGCACCAATCAAGGAATTGGTAACAGAAGAAAATCCCCAATTCTACCGGGAACTCGAATTGAAAGAGTATATGATGCACCACGCCTCAGAAAAAGCAAAGGGGACATGTCAGCCTTTACTACATTTCAAGATATGAATGTTGGTGTAAACATTATGACTTTTTTAAACATTTATTCTGAAATGTGAAACGTGTCCGTCCGACCTTTTAATTTCCCATATCGCATTTTCAGGTTTCTTGTATGATTGTGTCACGCTTTGTCACATTATTTTATTTGTGTTATATTAAATAAAAAATAAAATTATAACATGCATCAGGAAATATTTTAGTGGGAGTAGAACTCTAGAAGAGTGGTTTTAAAGCATTCAAATGGTGGATGACAGTTTTCTTAATAAGAAGAAACTGTTAACTATTGTAGATATATATGTTTTGTCTCTCCACTAGCAATTTATCGTTCATATTGAAAAGTTCGTCCTATTGAGAACTAAACATAATATTGTAGAGAGAAAAAGTTTTTATTAGTAAAAAGTTACTTTATTACCGACACAATATATTATAGTAGAAAAGGTTCAAATACAATACACACAAGCAAAAATGGACCTCCAAAGTAACCCATGAGCCCAAAACAAAGTTTTGAGTGAGCCCAATATAGAAAAAAAACCGAAAAACACATCGAAGATACCTGCAGACAGAACGCCTCAAACCAAGACCCCAACAGCATTCTAAAATCCAGCCAAGAAAAGCCGCCCCAGGAGTGAAGAAACAGAAGACGCGATCCTCCAACGAGCACCCTAGAAGTTGTAGTCACCATTCGAAGGAAGCCTATGGGAATAAGCAACTCACAAGCAACAATGCCAACGGGGGCACACATACAAGTGGAAGAAGGTGATACACCTTCCTGAGAGAATCGCGAAAATTCGAGAAAAAGATTAGTGGTTACAAATCTAATAGGTGGCTTCAAGGAGAAACAGGAAAGGGCATGGATGACAGAGTGGCAAAGAGAGAACAGACAGGAAATAAGAAAAGGGATGACAGGGACCCTGGTTATAGCTAGGGTGGATCTGGAAACTCTCACACAATGAAGAGAAGAACTCTCACAAAGAGATAAGAACTCTAACGAGGAGAGAAGCAGGGCCTCCAAGTAAGTTTTATTAATTGTTTCCATGAAATCAGTTCTACATATGATTATGGCATTAACTGTAGCTACTTGTATTTAATTAGTTTAGATCCTAAATGAAAACTTTTACATGTGGTATCAGAATCACCAATCAAATCTTGAACTCAATTATTTTGACTTAAAGTATACAGAGCTTGAATCGGTGCTGTTTAACTTGCAGGTATAATGCATGAATTTTTGTTCCACATTTTTTCTTCTGGGTATAAAGATTAACTTCTTCTCTCTGGTTCTCGTATGGCGGTCTTTTGTTTATCTGATTTCGTGGACTTTATCACAATAGTTGTAAAAAAAATTACGGTTTCACCATAAAACTAATTGGTAATATTAGGAATAGCCCAACTACATATAAGCATATGTAAGGTTCCTTCTGTCATCCATGTGGGGTTCATTCTCAACATGCCCCTCACGTGTGCGAATTTTCAAGCTTAACATGTTGACAACACAACTCGGGTGACGTGGAGGCTGTTGAGTTTAATACGTGGGACAACCTGCTCTAATACCATGAAGAAAGTTGAGGTTCCATAAAAAAAATCAATTGGTAATATGAGAAGTAACCCAATTACTTATAAGCACATTATTGTTGAGTCAACATTCTGATAGAAGTTTGCTCATTCTGCTCCTACAAGACCAAATCGGCGGCCTCCAACTCCTGAAAAACCAATGGGTTCATGTTACCCCAATTCATGGAGCTTTAGTTATAAATCTCGGAGATCTGTTACTTGCAAGTCAAATTTAACCAAATTGTAAATGAAATGCAGATATTATTACAGAAAATTCTTCCTTGTATGTAGTATTAAATGATACAAACATTGGATGATTTGGATTAGTTTGAATTATTGATTTTACTTGGTTCCGTGAACCCAAGTCATCCAATACTTGTGACATTTAATGCTACATAGCACCATAGCTTATTATTATGTAGTTTCTAATTAATAGCTAATCTCAAACGACAAGTTTATTGGTGTCAACCATAGGGTGTCGGCCAAAAACATAGGCCCAAGAATTTGGTGGTATGTTTTTTTAGACATCTTCCGCCGGAAAATTCCTCGAGGAGGTATGTGCCAATCAAGGAGTTGTTATCGGAAGAAATTTCCGCAGTTTAGCGGGAAACCACGGTGAAAGATTTTGTCGCATACTACTATACGAAAGGGCTCAACGGGGTCCCTGCACTGGATATCTTAAGGTATGAAGTTTGGCTGTCAATATGTATGGTCTAGTTTATTTAATGATTCAGTCTTGTGTATACTTGCTAAGATGAAAGCATGTATGGTCTAGGTTTCTGAGCAATGGTCTTATTTGTATTCTAGATTATCATTTAGATTTATTTCCTTGTATTGCTCTGTTGTTTTTGTATAAATTCCTCTAATTTGGAGAAAATAAAGTACAGGAGATTGTGAAATTTATTCTTAAATATATATTTTTATAGTGACTCCATTATCTGCCCCATGTAATTTTTTTTTCTTTCTCTTTGAGAATAACAACCAATTTCCTAGACAATCACAGGTACCAAGTGTTGGCATGAGTCAACTTTATGGTTTAGGAATGTAAATAGCATAGGATTACATGACTGATTCATTGTATATTTGGGATTCTTGTTTCCTAATTTATTGGGCCTCATGTATGATTATATATATGCCTCCTAGATAGAAGAATAATATAACAATTCAACCCTAAACAAATATACTTTTATCTTGGCATCAGAGCATGTTTCGGCCTATCTCTTCCCAAACCCTAAAACAAGTCAAAGCTAAGCCGTGCATTCTGCAAAGATTGCATAAGAAAAAACAAATCCTGGTGGTCTTAAAATTGAAGGGAGTATGGCAAGACCTTGATAAAAGATGTCCTATCAAGATGCTGTGTGTAGCTGATCTTAGAACCCGTATGGAAGAGCTTTCAAAAGACAGGGTGTATGACTTTCTTGCAGGATTAGACAATGGCTAGAGTGAATCCTAAGAAGAAACCCATTTATGGGATTGAAGAGTGCTTCAGTTTGGTTCAACGTGAAGCACAAAGAAAGAAAACTATGCTTGGGACAAGGGCCACGACAACAAGCTCTTCTATGGCAATGGTCACCAAGTCCCTACCACCATCCATGCGTCCACCGTCCACTGGAACACCACACCCAAACCGTACCCAATAAGACATCGATAATGACAAACTTCATTGCAATCACTACAAGGGAAAGCAGCACTTTGAAGACACATGTTTTGAATTACATGGGTATCCAAAATGGTAGTGGGAATTAAAAAAAAACAGTTGAAAACCAAAGGGAAGCGCATAGGGCAGGCCAAATTGGTCGAGTCTAGGGCTGGAGGGGCTGCTATGACAGCAGGCTACATAGGGTCCAATTGTAATGTTGGGAAACCTGATATTACAACAAGATATTATGAGCCTAGGCCCTACACATCAACCCACGACTTGGATGAACAAATGGGCCACAACTTAGAAGAAAAATTGCAACCTACAACAGAGGAAGATATTGACCAGATGCTCTCGTTAATTAAGCAAATTTCAAATAAGGATCCAGGTAACATTGGTACTGCACTCATAGCATCCATTAAACGAGATTTCGGCTGGATAATAAACTCCTGGGCTATTGATCACATGACATACGACAAATCATTATTTCACCACATGACTTCCCCACCAAAGGAGAATGTTATCACCGCAAATGGTGAAGTTGCTCTTGTTACAGGAGTTGGTTCAATAGACCTTACTCCATCTTTATCTTTGCACAATACACTACTTGTTCCATTATTATCAAATCATTTACTCTATGTTGGTCAGGTTACAAAACAGTTGGATTGTGTAGTACTAATGTTTCCTACTTTTTGCCTACTTTAGGATATCCAAACATAGACGATCATTGGGCGTGATACTAAGAGGAGAAGGTTATATTATATGGAGGATGTGGCTCCAAGCCGAGTCAATCAAGTGCGTAGCAGTTACAATAATAAGACCAAGACAATTTGGTTATGACATCATCGACTAGGACATGCATCTTTTGGTTATTTGAAAAAATTACTTCCGTCATTATTTAGTGGCATTTCAGAGTCTGATTTCTGCTGTAATGATTGCAATCTTGCAAAAAGTCATTGTACTTCATACCATTTGAGTTTCAATAAAAGAACAATGCCTTTTGAGTTAGTTCACTCTGATGTATGGGGTCCTTCACCAATAACTACACAACATGGTATTTGGTGGTTTGTTATCGTTGTGGATGATTGCACTCGAATGACATGGCTTTATACAATGAAACAGAAAAGTGATGTTGGTCAAATCTTCCAACAATTTTACCGTATGATTGGAAATCAATTCTTCCTCCCTATTAAAGTCCTCAGATTAGATAATAGTGGAGAATATCTTAATTCAGAAGTCTCTGAGTTTTTCACGGAGCACGGCATTGTTTATGAGACCACTTGTCCTCAAACCCCACAACAAAATGATGTGGCAGAGCGTAAGAACTAGCATATCTTGGAAACTACTCGAGCATTTCTTATTGGAGCATAGGCACCTAACACATATTGGGCAGAGGCTGTCACCTATTCCGTTTACCTCCTGAACTGAGCCTTCCCAGATTCATAATTTTCAAACCCCTTTGGTAGCCTTGACGGATCATGTCTCTCTTCTGTCCTCTCTTCAGTTATCACTTTGCATTTTTGGTTGTGTGGCATATGTGCATCTTCAAAAAAACCAACGCATTAAATTGGACCCATGTACGATTCGTTGTGTGTTTTTTGGATTTAATAGCCAACAAAAGGGATACCGATGTTATCATCCTTCTACTAGGCATTTATACGTCACCATGGATGTCACATTCTCCGAAATTGAAATGTTCTTTGCTACAGAACCAACCCACTTTACTCATCAGGGGGGATTGGTTAGTATACAAGACAAATATAGGTGGTTTGATATGCCATTGGAGCTGTCCAATGGGAGGGTTGAAATAAACCAAGAAAATAGTGAGCTTGCTAGTAATACACTTGGCAGTAGCCTAAGTGCCGACTTGACCACCAACGTAGGCCCGCTTGGTAGGAGCCCAAACACTGATTCATGCATTTACACCAAGCATGGATCCATCCATTGACTGTGGGGAACAAGATGTGAAGTCTTTGGGCAGCCCAAGTGCTGACCTATGGGCTTATTATGGAGAACATGCTAGGGAATGCAGTAGTGGATTGAGGGGAAAGCCTTTGACTTGGTCTATAAATGGGCCTGAATTGTTTGGGTCAGGAAGAAGGAAAATGGATAGCACCGAAGTAGTAGATCCATCAAATAATAACCTTCATTCTCCTCTACCAGTACTCGCTCATATCCCCGAGGATATCCAAGAGTTACGTTCTCATAATTCAAGTATTATTGAAAATCTTATGTCTTACCTTCTAGGCAAAACTGCAATAAACCACCTGATAGATTTTCTTCGGATGGAAAAGTGAGATATGCAATTGCACAGTATGCGTCAACACATCGTTTATCACTTAAGTATTAAGCGTTTGTGAATCAAATGGCTGGAGTTAAGATCCCAACCAAAGTGGAAGAAGCCCTGCAAGATTCTTGTTGGATAGAAGCCATGGAGGTTGAGATGAAGGCCTTACAAAGAAATGGAACATTGAACGTGGTACCACTGCCACATAAGAAGAGACCGGTGCGATGTAAATGGGTATTCACCATAAAGCACAAAGCAGACAGATCCATAGATAGATACAAGGCAAGATTGGTTGCTAAAGGGTACACATAGACATTTGGAGTTGATTATCAGCAAACGTTTGCTCCAGTTGCAAAAATGAATACTATTTTTCGAGTTTTTTTGTACTTAGTTGCTAACTTTGATTGGCCCTTGAAACAATTTGATTTGAAAAATGCCTTCTTACATGGAGATTTGGAAGAAGTATACATGGATTTTCCACCTAGATACGAAGTACCAAATGGAGTTGGAAAAGTGTGCAAACTTTGAAAGGCCCTCTATGGTCTCAAACAATCACCCAGAGCATGGTTTAGGAGGTTCACCCAAGTAATAAAGAGTTATGGCTACAAACAAGGGAATGCAGACTATGCACTGTTTATCAATCCCATGGGAAGTAAGGTCACTTTGTTGATAATCTATGTGGATGATATGGTAGTCACTGGCGATGATATAGAATAGATAAAAAGATTGCAAAGTTATCTTTCCTCAGAGTTTGAGATGAAGGATCTAGGGGGGCTTGAAATACTTTCTCGGAATCAAAGTTTTTGTTCTTGTGATGGTATTTACTTGTGTCAGCAAAAATATGTCCTAGATCTTTTCTCTGAAACTGGGATGTTGGCATGTAAACCAACAGAAACCCCTATCATGCAGAATCATCACCTGACAATATACCATAATCAAATTCCAACTAACAAAGAGAGGTACCAGAGGTTAGATTGATTTATTTATCACCTACGAGGCCAGATATTGTATATGCAGTTAGAATCGTAAGTCAAGTTATGCACTCTCCTAGTAAGGATCATATGGCAGCCATAATGAGTATATTGAGTTATTTGAAAGGTGCACCTGGGAAAGGATTAATTTTCAAGAAACATGGACATAGTCACTGCATGTCAGGCTACTTTACATTTGTAGTAGGAAATCTCGTAACTTGGAGAAGTAAAAAACAAAACGTGGTGGCCAAATCCATAGCCGAGGCAAAATATCGAGGTATGGCACATGGGATTTGCGAATTGTTATGGATCTAGATTCTTATAATTGAAAAAGGATTTAAGCCTCGGGAGTTTATGTTGTTCTACTGTGACAATCAAGCAGTGAGAGAGATAGCCAATAATCCAGTCCAACATGATCGTACAAAACATGGTGGAGTTGGATAGACATTTTATCAAGGAGAAGTTGGACGTTAAGTTGATTGACATTCCGTATGTGAAGTAAGAAGAATAGTTAGCTGATGTGTTAACTCATGCAATGTCGGTGAAGGTTTTTCAAGACTCACTCGACAAGTTGGGGTTAGGTGATATCTACGCACCAACTTAAGGGGGAGTGTTGGTGTGAGTCAACTTTATGGTTTAGGAATGTAATTAGAATAGGATTACATGACTGATTCATTGTATATTTAGGATTCTTGTTTCCTAATTTATAGGGCCTCATGTATGATTATATATTTATGCCTCCTAGAGAGAAGAATAATATAACAATTCAACCCTAAACAAATATACTTTTATCTCCAAGCACATGATTTGGAAATGACGAACCCCAACAACAGAGGTTCTCTGGAGTTACATAGAAGCCAAATGTATAGAAGGGATAATAAGGATTTGGCACTCGGGAATACTCATGCAACTCTTGCACTTTGGAAATTGCAGGTCGAAATTCAACAATAAAAAAAATACAGTGCAACTATGCAAGGCCTAAGATGAATGAAGTCGAGGTTCTACCATATACAATATGAGTATAGCCTAATT